TTTGATATGAAAGAGTATTCATTAGAAAGCTTTAATGGAGTACTTTCATTTTAGTCTAACAACAAAGTTCGAGTTTAATATAAAAATAACGAGATATTTTAAAAAAAACTTCATGTGACACGAATTTCGAATTTATTTTCACATAGAAAATCAATTGATGTGACATGTCCTGTGACTATTATTATAATTTTCTTAATTCCGTACATTTTCTGTATACATCCATAAATTGCATTACATTGATAAATTTCAAAATGCAGATTAAATACGTCCATTCCATATCTAAAACTTTATTCCGTATCAAATATAGGGAAATTCTTATACATTCCGTATGTTTATTTTCTATAGGGGAGCTTATATCATACTATGTGGTATGTTTATTTTGTTTATATGATTCCAATCCTATTAATATTAATTAATTTTTATGCACATCTAGGATGGACTGCTCAAACATCAAGAGATCATGCAAGAGTTATCTAATGAAACTAATGGGGTAAAGGAGGTAATCTCAGAAAGATTCGTGGATTGGTGGAATAAGGCATAATAATCTGCTATATACCAACATCCGAACTCCTGTATTTGTGAGCTTTCCAGATTATTTTACAAAAAATTCATTCTATACCAAAATGTAATGATACTTTAATGATATCTACTTAAATAATCTAGTTCAAATTGCATGTTTGACATTAAGTGATTATATATGATAAAGAAAATCCATAATAATACCTTCTTTGCAAATCGTTGATTGCGAATAAATTTAGGATCAACCTAAAATAAAAGAACATTAGTTATATAGCTTACGAATAAAATATCTATACCTATATATATTAATATAATTTATATATAATTTACTAACTCCTTTTAAAGAAGGATAACGATATGTCTTTGGTTTCTTAATACCATTACGGTGAGCTTTACGATCTATACAACAAAAGAATGTTTAGAATGTTATAATATATTTGGGAGAAATGCTGCTTTAGGATGAATATAATACATACTTTGGTTATGGTTGGTGTGATTTTTACTTTTAGCTAAAAATTTATATTATTCATTCAATTAGGAAAAAAAAATAAGGAAGGATTGCAAGATAGAAAATTAAAATTATATTTACCCATTTTTGAACTTTGTTATAACTTTATAAATAAATTAAATAAATTCAATTTCTTTACATTAATTCAATTATAAAATCGATTTAGAAACTAAATAACCTATAGATGGAATATTTTAATTTCAAAAAAAAAAAAAATATATCAAAATTGAAAATTGATCTTATCACATGATCTAAAAGTGCAATAATTCTTCATAAATAATGTCGGAATCTGTTTTAGGCTCTTCAGCTCGTCAACGCTTAGAATCATTTCTTTTACTTTCCAAGTCTGCCAAGGGCAGCGCATGTGTACAACTCATCAAAGATGCTTTAGGAGCTCCAGGTGTTTATGTATTTGCAGAACTGTTAGACATGCCAAATATTGCAAAGGTATGAAAAGTTCCGTCTCTTGAAAAGATAGTAGATTTAATAAATAAAATTAACCAATTAAATTAAAAAATCATCATCACAAACTTGGGGAAGAGAAAATTATTGGTGATCCAAATAACTTTCCATGAAATAGGATTCTAGGCAATTGGATTTCACAATAAATTTAACAGACTTTTCCTGTCTATGTTTAATAGCTTCGAAACAATGAACAATACCAACCCTATCACACATTGTTAAGGCTTTTCTCATATGGAACTTATAAAGATTACAAAGGTAAAAAAATGTGTATATACACATATTATTGAAAGAAGAAAGAATACCTTAATTAAATTGGAAATTTCATATATTAGATAATGTTGAAACATTACCACCATTGGATGATGCGCAATTAAACAAACTTAAACATCTGTCAATTGT